CCAAAAAAAAAAAAAAAAAAAAAAAAAAAAAAAAAAAAAAAAAGGTGGAAAACCAAAAACCACCTACTCCCTAGGAAAATAAAAGGTGGAAAATCAGGCTTTAAGGTGTTGTACCTAAAAATTCATTGAAAATCAATTCCCTGGAAAATTTTGTCAATCAAACAAGCAAAAAGTGAAAGTTAGAATTTGAATTCCAAGTTCCATGAAAAATTTCGTGCAATCAAACGGGGCCTAAGTCTATGTTTAAGCCGTAGTGTTGGACAAATTAAATAGTACAGTAAATGACCTGTTGTATTAAATATATAATTTAAATAAACAACTTTGGTCGATTTACAAAAATTTGCATATATTAAACATTAAGAGCATGTTTGATATATATTTTTTGACAATAAATTCTTTAAAAGTGATTTTTCATAAAAATGTTTGTCTAAAACGTAGGAAAAAATTATGAATTCATGTGCAATATTATTTTATTAAAAGAATGTTTAATGAAAAATGAATTTTAAAGAATCCTTACCAAAATATAGTATAACTTTGGTGAAATAAGTGAACTTAGTCTTTAAAAGAATATATAATTTAAATAACTAAAATTTTCAGTTGGCTAACTGCCTAAGCTTTTAACCAAAACCGTTCAACCTTCTCTTAGTAATTTTTTAGAACTTAAAAATCTAATGAGTTAATTTAAAAATATTATTTATAGGATTATGTAGTAGTTTTGGTGGACAATAAAGGCGATTACATCATGCCCTTATTAAATTTGGTAAAGATTTACTTTGTCTGGCTTCTTAACAACTTAATTAACTTACTTGTCGTGCATGATCCAAAAGCAGGTGTGAGTAATGTGGGTTTGTTAGCCTAAACACAATCGCCGCCGCCGCCATGGCGGCTGCCGTTTCCCCGGCGACGTCGGAGCCTGGGTGCTCCTCATCCACCTTATAAGCACGCCGGGAAGTAGTCATATCCTCCGGTCGCTGCCAACAGAGGTGGTCGGTGCCGCCATCACCCACCTGAAAATATCATCAAATCATTCATTTTAACACCCCCAAATTGCCATGAAAATTGGGAGTAATTTCTGACATTTTGTAGTAATGGACCCACGCAGAAATTCAGGAAAAACTGTTAAGGCCGAAATTCAAAAGCAATTCTCTGGCGTGATTGGAGGATATTGTTCATACTTTTTGCAAATTGTCGGCAATCGGGCATATAATGCGCTTCTTTTCTTCAAATTTTCAAAAAAATACAGAAATGGAGAGAGAAAAATGTGTAAATTACCTGAGCCCAAAGAACATGTGGATGTGTATGTGCTTTAATGAAATAATCAGTTCCCCATTTGATAGCTTCAAGGGCATGGCGATATTCCCCTGCATCCACAATCCGATCCCGGTACTCAACAACACTCCATGACAGCATTGTAACGGTAAAAGCCATTGGAAGACCAAATTTAACATTATCACCTGCATCATAGTAACCTCCTACCAAATCTACCTGTTTCAATAAAAAATCGCACAAAATAAACTCTACGAATTCGAATCAAAATTGCAGAATAAATGTTTCGGCACAAAAATGTGAATAATCAGAGTAACTTCCTACCAAGTCTACCTGTTTCAAGTAAAAATCACGCACAATAATGAATAAACTTCACGAATTTAGACCAAAATTTCATTCATCACGCAAATGTGGATAATCATAGTGAGCTCCAAGCAAGTCCACCAGTTTCAAGCAAAAATGGCACACAATAAACTTCACAAACTTCTTTTACCCGGTTTAAGTAAAAATCGATCACATACAACAAATTTCACAACAAATATTGCAAGTGTGGGTTATTAAGTGACCAGACCCCCTGTTCTAAGCCGTCAGTTAGGCCGGAATGGTGGCGCCAAGTGACTCTCTGGTTGTACGGCAAGCGACCGGAACGCTGCGCTTCGAAGTAGATGAGACTCTTCGATAGGGCTTCGCCATAGTTGAAAGATTCAGAAAATGGAAATGCAGTAAACAGTGAAATTACAGAGATCAAAGATGGAAAAGACAAGCATTTGGATTTGCATTGGCTCCTCATTCTTTGCGTGTTAGTTTCTGCTATCGCTCTCTGTGTCAGGACTCTGCTTTTGCGTCCTCTATATATACACATGCGAGGCACGTGCCTATGTCTGAGGTGACGAGGTTAGAGAGGTAAAGAAAGTCGAGTTAATCGAAATAGTAATCACTTAAGCGGTTAATTGGAATGTCGAAGCTCAACACGACTAATATAAGTGTCGCCTTGGCGGAATGGAGCTTGCATCGAGCTATTAAAAAAGTAGGTTGCAGCAGTGTTTATTTTCTTAAAATTTTTTGGTCGAAGTTTTTCTCTAATCTTCCAGTAATTAGACTATATCGTCTGTATTAACGATATTCGCCGAAAAGTTGGTTGGGAGAGCATAAAAATATTTATTTACTCTTCATATTAAAACTAAATAAATACAAAAGTGAGATAAAATATTTTTACCTAATTTAAAAGTATGCAAATGAAATATTTGGACAGAAATCATCGTAACAATGAACAATACCTAAATTAATGAAATTTCCAAAATTTGGCTCCCGCTAATTCTCGTACAATTATAACGAAAAATCTAACCTTTATATACGTCTAGAAAGAAATTGGCAACAAAATTGACTAAAATTAAATTGTCAAAAATGTCCTTGCTAATAGTGTTGAGTAATGAGTGTCTAAAATTCAGGGAGGAATACAAATAACCTCTCGATTTTTTCAATTTTGGCGAACATTTGGAATAATTAGTGAATTGCAACTCTATTGTACCGCAATCGGTGCAGGATTTTGCATCGTTAATGCTTTTTGCTAGTTGATTTCATTACGTAGGCTCTTTTCATTAAAATTTTTAATTGACAGGACAGGTGCAGTCCAAAATGGCTGCAACAACGTGGGGCCCATTTCCTACATATAATGGTCGGATTTTTCCTTATAATTAGACAAAAATCGCTGTCAAAGAGGCACTTAGAACCTTGAGTTCAATGGCATTGTACTGCGGTGACATTATAACAACCAAATTACTAGTAGTAAAGACAAATAGACTTTTAAGGGAACTTTCTTTGCTGGAAGTCCTTGAGCGCACCCTAAATTTTAGGGCTGCGCTTCGACTTTGATTGACTTGTACGCCCAATCTTGTTTTTTGGGGTTAAGGGGTTAAATGACTCGAAAATTATCTTTTGTATCGTGTCAAGATAGATTATATTAGTTTAATAGTTTTCAAAACCTGAAGGTCAAGATTTCAGATCATTTTTTCAGTCTTCGGAAGAAGTAAAAAAGCTAACCTAGCAAAAATATTTTGTGAATTAAATGGCTTGATGAGTTACCTAGCATACTGGATAAAGGACAGTTACAGGAATTATTTATTTCTTTATTATTTAGCAGTCTCGCTCTCTAAACCTGTAGGTGGAGCTGAGGCTTGTATTATTGTTTTGGAAGCCTAACCCCCTAACCACCCTCCACGCCACCCCAAATCCCCGACGAAGCCACCAAGGCAAACCCAAGATTTGGTAGATTGCTTTCAGTCAACCTTCTATGTACATTCGGGAGGGGGTGTCAATGAATTGAATTGAATTCGAAGGTGATTGTGAGATTACTTCCAATCAATTTTTCTAGGAGGTGCTTTAGACATACATATATCACTAGGTCAACCTGAACCCAAGTTTGGCTCCACTCACTAGGCGAGCTAGCTCTTGCTCACTTTGGGGCAAGCCGAGCAAGAACCAGCTCAAAAAAGGCATTCAAAGTAGTGGGTCTCAATCAAATGTGTGTCATTCCATCTCAAATAACCACTCCAGAAACGATGTGCAAAACCATCTCCCGCATCTTCGAACTGGGTAGCAAAGCTCAGGAAGACCATGGTTCAACTGCAACCATACTTATCGTGACCTGAGCAGTTACAAAGACCCTTTTATTTTTATTAGTCAATGAAGATCTATATAACTGGTTTCCTCAGTTGCATTAGCCAGACATTTAGAATGAGAAAGAAAATTTAGTTGCACTTATACAGAAGGAAAGAGAGCACCAGCGTCTCAAAAAGAAACAAATAAACGTATAGGAATTGAAAACCAAAGCATTTGAAACTGAATGGGTAGTTGGTGTCTTGTAGAATACTATGCAATACTGAAAGCAAAATTTAACAACAGTCAGCAATCATGTGGAGTTCAGAAGAGGATCAAACACACCAAAAGACTGGCAATTGAAATATCTAAACTGCTGCAGTTAAATAAGTTTGAAGGCACTTAATCTATATTACATTTCCAAACGGTACTCTTGTGGACTTGTCCTCTTACTATGCAGTTGAACCTCCGGTCTGGTGCAGCATGGCATCTATCTCGTCACCTTCCTCCATCTCAAGCTGTAAAGAAAAAATGCAATTTTGATGCTTGAATAGCTTGCGAAAATGTGAACATGTGCATGTGCATAGAGAGAGAGAGAGAGAGAGAGAGAGAGAGAGAGAGAGAGAGAGAGTACAAAGGAACAGTGACCTCATCAGGAGTCTGCTCACCTTGGAAGGGACTACCATCAAACAAAAAATGCATCTGAAACTTTATGTATTTTGGTGTGTGAATAGATTGTGAAGAAATGAGATCATGTGGCCGTGGGTGTGTGTGGGGAAGAGGGATGAAAATTGACCTCGTCCGGAGTCTGCTCCCCCCGGAGGCGACGTCCATCAAACAAGAATGCAATAGAGTTAAATTCCACAGATTGCCTATCACAATAAGCATTCATGAGCTTTTTCAGCTGTGTGCTTCTCTTAATTCTGAAAACTACTTCACTTCCATCCTGCATAAAGTAACCAGGATTAGGCCGTTCCACAAACAAATATCCATGCATCCCAATAGCAGAATGTAGTGAAACGCAACTTCCTTTACCAAAAACTTTAAAGCCTTAAATCTACCTCATCCTCAACAACATATATATAAACTTGCCAACATGGTCATTAATAGGTTGTATCAAGTGTTTGAAAGACTAAAAAAATACTATTAACAGACTATTATAAAAGAATATGTTAACATCCAGAATAGCATCATAAAAGGCCTAGAACGTATTTTTCTTAGTGGGAATAAGAGTGCTATAATGTTAAAAAAAGCAGCAAAAATAAATATAGGCAGTAGACACAAGTACTTGTATCGTTATAAATCAGGCACACACATGCATACATATATAGGGTGATTGAAGGTTGTGGTAGGAAATAAAGGAAAAGAAGATGCCTTCTATATCACTTGAAAGAGAAATCAGTTGACAGCAAATAAATGAGAAAGAATAATTCAGGTGAACCAATGATTAAACATGGCTTCATTCTGTTAAACAGTTGGCAGAATGGCTGCCATATAAAATTCACATTATATGTACAGTTCTTTAGTTTCATTTTTCAATTTAAATCCTCTTCAACAAAATAACTGTCATAACATTATTCAAAATGAGGTTTGAAGTGGACTAAAGCAACCTACAGTCTAGAAACTCAACTGAATACTAAGAGCATCTTCACTCTCAAGAGAATTATGTTTGCTAAACAAATTTCATCTTCTAAAAAAGAGAGGAACAGAGGAAGACTTCACTCAGCCATTGACCACTAATCCAACAACAGAAGGGTTAAACAGAGCTACAAAGGAAGGGTTAAAAGGTGCAGAAAACTTGCTAATCAGGATTTTCTCGAGAAAGAATTTTTTTGGGGTTTTTTGGACTGATAAGAATTACTGATAAGATTCAGTGTTTTTAACTTCACTGTCAAGAATTTTCATCTTCACTAGTGTTAAACTGCTAACAATAGGTCAGGCTATAAAAGGTGGCGGTGTGAAACATGTTACGTAAATCCTTAATCAGTTGATTGATTCCATAACTTGCAACAGAACACGTGGCCAAAGTTTCCAGAGCAATAATACTTATTCTAAGCATTCCTATAATTATAGGCATAAAAAAACTGAACCGTGCTGGAATATAAAATCCACATCAGCAGAATATTCCAGCTTAACAGGATATTCACTTCCAGCTCAACCAAATCCATGTCCGGCAGATTACTTCTTATTCCAGAATTTCCAGATTCTAGAGACTTCCTAGTTAGCTAGTTATTTTCTCTATAAATACTAGAGTTTGTACACATTTTAATTCATTGGATTGTAGTCTCCAATCCCTCCTTCCATGGAGGTTTCTTCCTCCTATATGGAGTGTCTTTCCTCCTTTGTGGAATGTCTTTCTCTTCCTCCTATTATGGAGTGTTATCATCCTCCTATTTTGGAGTTCTTTGTTCCTCCTATCATGGAGTGTAATTCCTCCTTTAATGGAGTGTTTTGTTCTTATCCTTATTGAGTTTAATACATTGTTTTTCATTCAATAAATCTAATATTAAAACCTACCACTAAGACCCCTAATAATCAAAATATCTACTATTAAAACAACATAATAAAATCTTGAATACAAAACTACATTGTTCTAAAACCCTATAAGGCACTGCACGCTATCCAATTAAATCAAAAACATATAAAAAACAATTAAAAGATTGGATGGAAAATGGCAGAGGTAACAACAATAATACAGTAGTCATTCCAAAAATTAGTTGCATGCACGGCAAAACTAATGTGTATACCTAGAATTAATTGTTCCAATGGTCAGTCCATGTCTTTGATTTACTATTTAAAATGTAGAGTTTTTGCCATTGAACTTTTGAAAATGTTGTAAGTTACGCAGTAGCATAAATGTTGAACTTTGGAAAATGTCCAGATTAAGGCGAGTAATGTACAACATTTTTTTAAATTCTTCAAACGAAGACATGAAAGACATATAAACAATCGAAGACATAGATCTAAGTTCAGTGACCATTGGAACAGTTAACTCATATACCTACCCGCAAGGGCCACCTATAAACAAACGATTTGCAATTTAAACGTAAACAAAACCATAAAAATGGTTCAAAAACCTAGAAACAAATTCCACACTGATCAAGTAAATCAAAAACATCATACGGCATAAAAACATTTCTAGAATCACAAATACAAAACATTCAGATGAAAAAAACAAAAAACAGAGGGCACAAGGAACAGATAAACGATTGAAACCTGGCCTTTGACTTTAAGATTGATATGGATCGACTGATCACCAGGCTTCTTGTCTTCGTCTTGAGTGGCACCTGACATGTTCTCCTGGCCGGCGATTAACCGCCTCCGCCGGTCGCCGCTGCTTTGAGGAGTGAATTTTCTACGACCGCTGTAGTGAGGTGTTCTGCCTTTTCAATGATTGTCTGCGTTTTAATCCTTTTAATAATAAAAAATAATGAGAATAGAAAAATGAGAATCAATCAGGATTCTGGACGTTACAAATAGGCGGCTGAGATGGGCTTAGGCCTGATCCCACGGACAAAATTCGAGTGGTTGAAATTCCAGAGTTGTAATACGGCGTCGTGTTTAATCCATTTTTGGGCTTGCGTAGGAAAGACGCCACGTAATATGTAAGCAATTAATGGGCCGGATAGTGGTGTGATTGAATTTGGGGGAAATAATAGAGGGGAAAATTACACAAAATCCTGCCATTAAACTTTTCGTCTATGTTTGATGGGAATTAAAATTAAATTTTTTAGTAAATTATGATAGAATTTTTTAAAATGTGTGGTTAAAAAATCTTGGGACCCATGAAAAAAGTTGTTAATACTGATTGTTTGACTTTAACTTAAATTAAAATCGAATTTTAATCCCTCCCAAACAAGTTTTATAAAATCATATTTTCAAAAATCAGGTGAAAAATTAAATTTATAATAATTATAAAATTAAATTAATTATATACCTAACCCATATACTATCTGCCCACCCCAATTTCAAACTCTAATCCCTCTTCTTCTCCTTATCCCTCTCCCTTATCTCCTCTCTCTATCTCACCATCAATGGAGGACCACCACACCGTCGAGAGAAGATACTGCAGTGCTCACGGCCCTGCTGTCGTACGTAGCGTCACCTATAGGAAACTCCGGTTGGCACTGTATAGCAGGCATGTGTTGTGTAGTAGCAATGTGTATAGAGATGGAGTTACGATGGAGTTGCCAGGATCTGTACGCATCGCACAGTGTTGATATGTAGCTGTTACAACTCCAATCACGATCAGATCCAGATCTACATGTATAGAGAGGTGTGAAGTGGTGGTGGTGGCGTCGCGCGAAAATAGTTACGGGATTTGTGTTTATGTCAATGGTAGTGTGTGGTTAATGGTGAATGACAGCGGTGCTGTGTGGTGGTAATGGACGTCGAGGTGGTGATTCTGCAGTCGGTGGCGCAGGGGGTAATGGTGTGGCGGCGATTTGAGGTGTGGTGTATTTGCGAGCGAGTGGTGGTAGTTGTGGTCGTGGCGTGGAGTTAGGGTAGGGTAGGGTAGGTGGTGAAGTGGTTCGAGACCAATATTTGGAAGATTGTGACCAATAAATTGACTAATTTGTGATTAATAAGTAATATGTGATCGATAAAATATGTGATTCATAAAATATATGACGGTAAAAAGCGTGATCAATAATTTGTGACCTGTAAATATGTAATTGAAATGTAACTATCACCAAAATTGTGATTTTAATATATTTAATTTAAAAAATATTTTTAATCATTTATATAATTTTAAAAATCAGAATTACCTCCTGATTTTTTGAAAGTTGAAAGAAGTTTGTTAAAAATGAAATTGTATTTGGCAGATGCTATATTTATGAATTTTTTCCTAATAAAAATGGTTCCTACACTTGGAAATATTTACAGATTAGTCCACAAAGATCCAGAGACAAGGCAGCCTCATTTTTATTTATTTTATTAAATTATTTAGATTTCAAGATTTTCCTAGTTAAATTTAGTACTAGTTTTTAGTAGTGTGTTAGGATTATGACTTCAATGAGTAATTCCAGTGTTAAAGAATAGTCTTTCTTTTTTTTTTTTCCTTTTTTTTTTCAAAGCAATTTATACTTTGCTTGAGCTCCATTCTTGTAACAAAAAATAAAAAATGCATTTTCAATAGTGTATTAATGGAAAATGTGTTGTTAAAATATAAGGAAAATTTTTAGATTTACGTGTAATATTATTTTATTGAATAATGCAGGGTTGAAACAAAGTCAAAATACGAAGATGAAAATATTTTGGAGTGTGTCGTTTCAAAATTTTTTATTGGGAATTATCAATGTATCTATAAGCAATTGAAGAATGAGTACAAAGTGAGATTTTGTATATGTAAGCAACTGAAGAACGAGTACTCGGTGAGATGTTAATCCAACAGTGATAAATCAGGTGGAAGGGTGATAGGGCTCAACCTTTAGACACTCGAGCTTGACTCGTGTCCAAATCTAAGGCCCGACTCGGCCCTTTGACTCATGACTCCTCGAGCCAAGTCCAAACGAGCTACCCATGAGTTAAAATGAGCTGAGCAATCTATGAGCTAGCTCTTTTTATAGGTTCATTGGAAATACTATATATTGATCGGGAATTTTCTAAACGTTAAATACTTTCGAGAGGTTTTGAATATCTACAACATCGATAATTTTCAGAAGTTGTAATCTAAAATGATTCAACCGTCGACCATATATGCTTGAACAAGACATTCTCGAACTTTTAATGAATTTTCGAAATCCATATGATTAGAAATATTTCTATTTTTATTTTATTTTTTGTGTGAAGAGGTGATTTTCTTACAAGTATGCACAATTGTATATACACGTTGGAATTGTGTTTGTTACGCGTTTGATACACTCTGCTGACCCACTGGGGCCCATGGCCCACTCATGCCAAACCACGTGGCATCTCACCCGAGGCTTACTAGGACAATAGAAGTCAACCAGCATACAGAAAAAACACCCATGACGTGACCCAAATGTTGACGTCGAAGTGAATATGCCGAGGTGGTTTGTCTTGTCGAGGCCCTTCACGCCGAGGCCCATCATACCGAAGCTCGATCGTCCTAAGCAGCACTCCTCCTCAGAGATCCGGCCTTATACAAGGATCCTTCCTGATTGATTGATGGGACACCCATCATAGAGTGCAAGTGTCTTGTCTTGTCAAAGTAGTAACAGCTCTACCAATTAATAATGTGCAGTAGGCTAGGAAGTGAAATGTAATGTCTATAATTTGACATGTAAACTTACGAGATGAGGCCATGTGCACTCCCAATCGAGGGCTACAATCTAATTTGTAATACTATAAATACTCTCCATGCATCTCTCATAAGGATAATGTAAGATTCAATACAAGAACCAAGATTACACATTCTTTACTCTCTTAATACACTTTATTCAACAATATTTTTGCCATCTTTCAATACAATACAATACAAATCCACACGCGCATCCTATGAACATTGATCTGTAATTATTGTACAATTGCTATGCAAACATCTCGTTGAATTTTGAACGTTCTCGTCTCGCGCTGTTGAGCCACTCCCATGCCCTTGATCTGTCCATTTGAGACCACCCACGTTTCTTAGCGTGTTGGACTAGGCTTACATGCGCGCGGGTGGATCCGATATCTTTTGGCTACATGTTTTGGGGTCAACAAACCATACAATAACCACAAGTAACCGTGTGGAAAAGCTTACTAAAAGAAGAATATTTGGGTATCCCACTTGAAAAATGATTTGTTATTGGAAAAGAACAAGTGGAAGCCCCATAATTTGCACCAATTTGAAGTTGGAACACGAAAGAATGAATTCGAACGAGGATGTGCCCCTAGGAGGGTAAGGGAATACGTGGGAATGCACCCACCGACAGCTGCCCCTACAGCTCGGCATCGACCTCATCACCACCACAAAAGAGGTGGCATGCGAATGGCCACTCAGTTCTCGAGAGAGATGGCCACCATGGCCGCAAACATGAGGGACATTACTAGCCAAAACATGGCCATGAGAGAACTCATGGTCCAAATGCAGAGCTAGGGAGGCTTTCCTATTCCTCCCTATGCACCCCAATGACATTACCAACAAGAAGAGGAAGTCCAAAGCTAAAAGATTGTATCACCAGAATACAAACGAGACGAAAGCCCTATGGAGAGAGAGGTAGAAGTTGATATTTCCTCCAATTAAGTTGCGGGCTAACCCATCAAGGCCTGGTATAATCAAGATAACTTTCCACTAGCAAATGAGCCAGAACAAAGACCTAGGAGGTCTAATAGTGTGTCTTTGACAGAATCAAGCTCATAGAACCGATGCGCGGGCAACAGCAACAGCTATACGAGCCTCAGACTAGGCCACAGACCCCACCTCCAATGACTCATTAGCCGGAGGAAAGGCATGAAAATGCCCCCATGCTGCCCCGCTTAGAAATAGGCGCCAAAGAAGGGAAGAGGAGGCTAGAACCCAAACTGAACCCTCTCATTAGCCACCCAGGCACGAGGCTGATGAGAACAATGACTCAGATGAGCAGCACAGGTCCTATGATTTGGACGACGACGAAGAAAATCTGCCATTTTCAAGGAAACTAAGGAGTGCCCAGGTTCCGAGCCACTATGTGATGCCCAAAATACCAAAGTACGACAAGAGAGGCGGCCCAGAAAAATATCTAAGCGTTTATAAAACTCATATGAGCTTTAGAGGCACCACCCCAGCTGTGAAGTGCAGGGCTTTCCACATACTTAGTGGAGCGGCTGAAATCTGGTATAGTAGGCTGCCACCTGGGAGCATAAGGAGTTGGGCAGAATTCAAAAACACTTTCCTAAAAAGATTTGCGGTGAGCAAAGAGAGAGAGACCCCTATCTAGTGCCTTCAAGACATGAGACAGGCACATGGGGAATCTCTAAAAAGATTTTTATCATGCTTTACTGATGAAATGACAAATTGCGTGCAACTCACCAATCGTGAGGCTTTATCAACACTGAGAGGAGGTCTGAATATGAATACCCTATTTTGGAGGGACGTGCAAAACCAAGATCCCACCACCTATGATACTTTGCTGAAAATGATGAGGTGGGAGATAATCAATGAGGAATTGATTGAACATCCGGGACAGCAGAGACCTCCCACCTTAACAAAGGCAACGTGCCAGAGGACTGACCTCCCACTTGATAGACTACCAGAAGAACCCACCTGGTAATGGAAATTCAGGGCAAGCACTTGTCATAACCACTTTGAACGCAGTTCCAACTTTGGCATATAAAGATGTTAACCCAATGATCGTCGATTCGAAAGCTACAACTTCACAACGGGCCCCCCGCAGAGGAAGAGGTTGGTGGCATAGTTCGGGGCCTAGGAATAGGCCTAATTAGAATCCCCCGACTATTTTACATACCACCACTCCTATGGTCATGACACCTTCGAGTGTCGAGAGTATGCATACTGA